TATGTATCTGTACATACTAATATATACTAATACATACACATATGTATATGAGTTGTTCCAAAAGTCTTAGTTTTAAGCACTAAGATTTGGAGACATCCTTTATGTGTGTGTGTGTGTGTGTGTGTGTGTGTGTGTGTGTATGTATGTTGAGTCACCACTAGAAGGCCAAAAATAAAGAATGGTTTTTTTTTTTAATCTTAGTTCATTAACTTAGGGCACAGGAAGTGGTATGTGGGGAAAAACCAGTTGCAGATACTCTGTCCAGTAACAGCCTCTTACCTCATCACTACAGAAAACCCTCTGTGGAGAGTCTGGTATAACAAAAACAAATAAATGGGCCCAAAATAAATTGGTGCTGACATGCATACCGAACTTGAAATACCATATACTAACTGTCAAAAGAAGGAAGTTACCATTTGAATACAACTCCATTCTTTTTTTCTCACTGTAAGTTTTCTGAGTCTCTAAGGGAAGTTTCCTTTACTGAACTAAACAAAGAAGACAGTTCAGTGAACTCTAAGAGCATTTTCAGCATGTCTGAGATATCAAGGCACATATTAAACAAAGGTCACATGTACTCTTGATTTTCTTTACACAGCTCAAAATAAAATAAAAATGTGGCTTAGATCAGTTAGGGTGTTGGATTACAATTCCTTAGATGGGTGAGGTGAGGGAAAATAGAGGACAAAGAAAATGTATCCTGCTGATGTTTCAAAATCAGTACTGCAGGTGAAAATGTTAGACTGATGTAGACAAAAAACCAAATACACCTATGGCCAGTACCCATTTTACAGTTAAGATTGCTATCACTCAAAGTAAATTCCATTTGCAATGTAACAAAACAGTTAAAAAGGTGGGGAGGAATATGTGGATAAAAATATGAGATGTATGGAAAAAAAGATATATATATATATATATATATATATATATGGTGAATGAATATATGTATGTGTATATATTATCTGTATACACATAGATTATACATACATATGTGTTTTTATGATTTACTTATCCATCCCCTACCTGAGTCAAGGAAAGGACTCAGGTAAAGAATAAAAATTGGATTTTCATGGCAGTCTAGTAGTCTGTTTCTTTCCTTACTCCACATCCTATGTGCTCCAATTAAATTAGATTACTATAGAGGGGCTGGAATTTTCCTCCAATCTCATGGAGTGCTGAGCCCACACCCATACCACTTCCAAGGCAACATGTGGCTCAGTGTTAAATGTCTTATTCTCTATAGTGGTTACTCAGTGTCATTATTGGTCCCTAAACAAGAACAAGATATTTAAAAGAGAGTGAACCACTCTCTGCCTTTCTCTCCTTCTCTTTCTTCCTATCTGGTCACAGTCTAGTCTTATTCAAGTATGTGCATCAGGAGCATGTGCTCCGATCTAACCCTCTTACGCCTTTCTTTTCTTATAGGCCTTTGTTCATGTTGTCCCATAAATTTGGAATGTCTTCTCCTTCCCACTTTTCAACAGCAGAATTTCTATCCATCCAGTAAAGTCCAACTCAAATGCCAACTCTTACATGAAACCTTCTGTAATTCGCCATTGGTAAGGACTTTCTCCCTAGACCTCACACAGTGTTCTGTTTTGAATCTCTCAAATGCAGTCATCATGTATTATGTAGTGAGTATTTGTGTTTGTATTGTAATTTCCATTGGACTTTAAGCTCGAGGAGGGAAGACACTTAATTCGCTTTGACACCCAAGAGTGATGTATGTATAGTAGGCATTAGCAAATGTTTTAGAATGTTCCTGAAAGAAATTTTAGCTAACAATCTTCAGTCTCCTATAATTGATTTCAATGCTGTTATCTCATAGACAATATTTCTACATCATCAGTAGAAAGAAAGAAAAGGAAAAGTGCTCAAGTTAGCTGTTCAATTAATTCTAGAGATGTGAAGTGACTGTTAACTATGGAGGAAATACTCTGTTTTGCTTCTTGAAAGTAAGTTGCATTCTCTTTGCATCTGGGATTTATTTAGAGCAGGGTAGCAATTGCTACCTTTAATGAACAAGTTTTAAAGAAAATAATGAAAAATGTTTGCAGGTGGGTACAATAAGAAACATGTTTCCAAAAATACTGGAACAATTTAATAATGATGAAATGTTTTTTTTAAAACACTCCTGAACTTTATCAAAAGCGACTCGGAAAATGAAGGACATTTGACATATATTTAGTGGACACATAGAACTTAGCACCAGAATAAGAACTACTCATAATCATTAAGGAACCTGGGATACTCTGGGGAGAGTAAATCAATTAACATTGATATTGGGATTATCATGTACTCTTTTTGCCTTTGGAGAAAATTGACACTAGTTTAGTGACTGTGTTGGTGATGAAGAATTGGAGTTGGACTATTTCAAAGGGTAATTTGGAACTTGCTCTGTGGACAGTGCCATGTAGTCAGTATTTTGGGTCCTCTTTTAGAAAAGGACAACATCTTCACTAACTTAAACATTTTTGCCTTTTGCATTGGTCTCAGGGCAATTTGCATAGGATGCTTCATAAAGGTAGCCTATGTTCAGTAGGAATGAAAACCTCTTCTTTTTTGGGGACAACTAGTTGTCCATATGAAGACTTGCATGTGCAAGTTTCTACAGTGATGTAGTATCCATCTACAAAAGAGGCTCCTATTAAGTTATTGAGGATTGAGTATTATTTTTTACTGCTGCACAAGAGTGACTGCCAAAAATAACCCAACAGGGAGGATTAAATGTACCATGAGAGGAAGAATTTACAGCATAGTTGTAAAAAAAAAAAAAGAATAAAAAAGAAAAGAACTACAATAAATGGATTTGCAATACTTGAATTAAAAGGGGGTTGTGAGCATTTTTCACAATTTTACATCTTGGTGTAGCTTGTTCCTAGCCATCCATCTGATTAAGAGATAATTTTATTCCACTTTAAATGAGACCATTTAATCCTCTCATTTTATAGATGAGGAAACGGAAGGCCAGAAAAATTAAGTGACTTGTCTAAGGTTTTACATGTGGTTAGTAAAAGAGGCAATATTTGAACTCAGGTTTTTAGTTAGTGAAGCATATTAATATATGTTTCATTAGTATTTATTTAAGGCCCTCCTTTAGACACTGACTAATGTTATTAAGACAGATGCCCTTCCTTTAACACCTTGAAATTTTAGTACCTACTTTTTTTCCCTTCCATATTACTAAAGATTTTCCAAGTTAATTTTCAAAGGAAGCCAAAATTGTGAAATTTAAAATTCTGTGTTCACTTTGTGTGTTTGCATACCATATGCACATATCATGCCTACTTGTCAACATCCTCTGTCAAATTCATATGAAAGCTCAAGATCCAATAAAGCCCCATGGAGAAGCACATGAAAGATTCAAATTGCTTGAGGCACTAATTTGTATACCATCTTATTTTAGAAATAAACCTTCCCCATTTTTTGTAACAATTTGAATAAATGTAGGCTACAAGTTTGAACAAGGTAAAACTCCTCCCCTTTGGCTGACTATGTTTTAAAATTTTTATTGTGTGCCCTCAAGGAAGTCATTTGAGTGTAATCATTATGCCTGCTGTGAATACGAAAATTATAAGCTTGCTATGTTTGCTGCATTCCTCTATGACTAACCTTTTTCTAAACTGCAGCACAAATGGAGCCAAACTGATTATTAAAGGAAACCCTAAAATTGCATATATTTGATGAGTAATGGAGAAGACAGCTCATGCTGAAGCAGTTTTATTCATCATTGGACGGGGATCAGTGAATTCTGGAATACATATCTTAATACTTGCTTAAGGTGCCAATCAGTGGAACTATGGTTAGGATCATTTGTTTTGAGTCACAAAGTGAATTTTAAAGGACAAAAGGATGGGGTAAAGTAATTTTTGTGAAGCCTTTACAACTTAGAGGAAAAAGAAGATTTTACTCTTCCTTTGAAGTATTTTTTTAAGGTTTTTTTTTGTTTGCTAACATGTTATCATTTTAATTATTTTTCATAAAAAATAATTCAGTCTATCAATGAGGAAGTAAAGACTTTTCAGGTTGTTTTGCAAAGCTTATTCAGCAAGTTGTAGGCAGTAACAGAATTAGAATCCAGAATCCTTTGTGTTTTAATTTGTTTGCACATGCCCCCAGGGAGAATTATGAAGAACTGTCAGATCATGAATTTTGGGATGAAACAAGGCCTTGGGCTAGAAAAAATTGGAATTCCTATCATATCATAACCAAGATCACATCTATCACCTTCCCTTCTTTCTCCAGCCTGACTATATCTCTTCTCCCAATGGCTAGTTTGGCAGAATGAAAAACATATAAAGAAGGGAAGAAGAGAGAATTGAAGAGGAAGATGTCAAGGATGATGTAGAAGTTTTTCACCTGAAATAAGGGAGAAGAAGTAAAGCCACTAACAATACGAGAATTGTAAGGCAGTTTTCTTCTGTTCACTTTAAGGCTGGTCCAGCAGGTTAGTGCAATTGATGACTAATGATTCTAGATAAATCTCAAACGCATGACTGACTGTGCAGACCAATTACTCTGATTGGCTTAATAAAAAATTATGATAAGAATAACGATTCTTGGGGCTATTCTTCTGCCAGGTATGCTATGCAAAACTGAGCTTCTCTTTTGTATGGTTTGCTGAAACTCACTGTGTAATTCTTTCTTATTTTCATATAATTCTGAATCAAAATGTTAGGTAATATCTCATTGGAAAAAAATAGATAAAAAATATTAAAGTATTCATAAAAATATGTAGAGATATGCATAGGTCACCTTTTTTAGGTATTGATCAATCATTTCCAAGTCAATTAAAAGGATGTGAGTTTGATAGCCTCTAACAGTAAAAGCAAGATTTAGTATTTTATTTCTATTTCCAAAACATTTAAACAGATCACACTTGACATCCTCCTGAAGAGATTTCAAGATAAAAAATGTATAACCTTGGTAAGGAAAAAAAGAACAACAACTTGGTAGTGATCTACAGAAAATGTTTTTCTTATTTATTGTTGACTACGCACCTATTAAAAGAGATGCTGTCAGCAGTTTGGGGTCATATGGACTCTTTCCACGGCCATTTTCAAAATGTGAATCCTCCAGCTTAAAAATGTTGTCCTGTTGGTGAAAAAAGGATTATATTTATTTAAGGGAAGGAGTATTTCTCATGTCAGTTCAAATATTCTTTAAGAGAGGATGGGAATTTGTGTCCAACTGCAAGGGTGATATGTGTGAATTCTGCATATTTAGAACACTAAATTAGAAATAACTCTACCTAAAGCCAATAGTTGCCTATGTTGGGGGAAGGGGGAGTTGTATTCAATAACATGATTATACAGATATGCAGACTTGAAAATCTGTGTTAACAAAAAAATACATATGCATAATTTCTATTTAGCTCTGCAATTTTGATGAGAGAAAAGGCAGAACATAAAAATTCAAGAGATGCTTTACTTGATTGCTTGCATACATCATTCACCTCCTTCACCAGCTTATATTTTGTAAGACCATACATAGGCATTTTGTACTAATGGAACCCCATAAATAGTTATTATGCACATAAAAATGTAAGTAACTGGAGGAGGGGACTTCCACCTGGGGCCTGGACTTCTCCAAATGTTTCTTGTTCCTAAATACTCCAACGTGTTTACAATCCTAATGTTGTAACAAATAGTAGTCTGGTTCTATATAAATATAAATTCTTTTCCATGGAGTATTAGTTTGGGAGTATAGTATGGGTGGTCAGATGATCTTAGATTTAGTTGTGAAAAGGACCTTAGTGATCATCTAATCTAATGTTCTCATTTTCCAGATAAGGAATCTGAGACCCAGAGAGTTTAAGTGATTGTCCAAGGTCACACATGCAGAAATAGCAGAGCCAGCACTGAACATAAGTCCACTGACTCCTAAGGTAACCCTGTTCCTAGCGACTAAACAAAATCATTTATTAAGCAAACCAAAAAGAAGTGATATTACAGTAACTCTAACGAGTGATCACTGAGTGAGAATAAGGAGTGATCCAATTGATCTTTTATGGCCCACTACTTTTGTGTTATAGAATTCTAAACTTATCAAATAAATCTCATTCTCCCTTTTATAGCAAGAAGTTGACAATCCACTGTCTTCAATATAAAGGAAAGATAATTTTATGTTTCTTGTTCCCTTTTTCATACTTTCCCTCAATGATGCTTTATGGTTACTTTAACCATAGGTGCACTTTATTAGCAAGGACAAAGAGGGAAACATCCTCTCTTGGCCTGATGCTCTCATGACTCTCTGCTATATTGAAACATGAATTTCTGTAAGCAAGATAAACGAATGGGAGTAGTGACATGCATCTTAGCTCCTCTCTACCTTAGGAATTATTTGTCCAGGGTATTGTCAATAAGCTTAGAAGACTATCTTCCTACTTACTGTGGCAAATGTCAAATTTTAGAAGATCTTAGATTATTAGTGAGGGCTTCCCTAGAGCTTTTATGGTTTAGAGACTGTAAGCCTTCAGATACCAAATTATGGAAACCAGCTACAATGAGGCATAGACAAGAACTTTGACACAGTTTAATACTTTCATGCATAAGAAATAAAACACACCATAAGATTCAAGGTTAACTTTAAAGGATATATCACCTTAATAAGATAGATACACATATACCATAATGACTGAATCTTGTAGAGGATAAGTTTAAAGATATGACTGATAATTATATCCTTCCTGGAGACAATTTAGTTAGCTTTTCTCATCATTTTGAATCCACTACAAATTTCAATGTGAGTTCCTTGTTTTCTGTCTTTCTTTGTATCTCCAGCTCTTACCACAGTGTCTAGAATATAGTAGGTGCTTAATAAGCTACTTGGTTCACTGACAACATATAAACAATTGATTCAATTCAATATTAAGTACCTACTATATGTAAGGCACTGTGCTTCATAGTGGAGATACAAGGATTGATACTATACAGGCTCTGCTCTTAAGGCACTTACAATCTAATAGGGAGGAAAGACAAATAAATATCATAGAAGAAGATAAGAACAATGGAGATCTCCAGGCAAAATGCTAAGATGAATTTGAGGACTGAGAGAGATCATTTTGACCTGGGGTGACAAGAGGATCAGAGAAAGTTTGATGGAAGAGAGAAAGGACTAAAGTGGATTAAGTGGTGGTTGAGGAAGGGGGAAAACAAGAACTATTTTGCATTTATATGAGAGGCTTGGAAACTTAATGTCTATGTGGGGATAAAAGAGAAAAGATTATCCCAAGACTATAGTACTAAAGCTCTTCAGAGATTGTTGTGAGTTTAGACGTAAATTTGGGGTCATCTGAATAAAAGATGATATTACTACATCAGATGGCTTAGGAGGAATAGAGTATGGGGACTAAGAACATTGAACTATATTTTATATATATAATATATATATATATACACATACATATATACATATATATATACACACACACACACACATATGTATGTTTGTATGCATAAACACATACTTTAAGTAAGTCAAAGGGTGTGAAGAAGGAAAAAAAAAGAGTAAGGGAGACAGAGAAGATGTGATGATGGAGAAAGATATGGGGAAAACCATGAGAGGAACTTAAAGGAATATAGAGTATAAAGAAGGAGGGTAGGGTTAAATGTTGCAGAATTATCAAGAACAGGGTGGGGAAAAGGCACTGGATTTCAGAAGATCATTAATGATCTGGAAAGAGCAGCCTCAGGAGAGTGGTGGGAACAGAAGCCAGATTGCAAAAGTTTTAAGAATGTGTGAGCAGTGAGATATTAATGATTACCTTATGGAAACTTGCATTTTGTGCAAGGTCTAGAGGAAGTATTCTAATTATTCCTCATGAGTTAGACCAAAATGAAGAGTAGGCAAATCCCTAAAACATCTCAGTTGTTAAGCCTATGCAGGTCATGGATACTAGATCCTTTTCCACTTATTTTAGGGGGTCTACATTTAGCAAATAGTTAAGTTTCTCAAGATTTTTCAGATGTGCACTGAACATAAAGCCCTAAATGTTTCTAGACTGGTAATTCATGTGAAAAATAGAACATGTACTAAGGAAATGGAAATTTTATTATTGCAAAACCAATATGATAAAAGTGTATCCTTGAAATATCGAATAAACAAAGCAAATTGTTGACGCTATTTTAATTTTTTTCTAACTTCTACAACAATCCCAATAAAATTTAGTGAAATTATACATGCACTCAGATTCCAAAAAGTTACTATGAAAATGTAAACAAGGACAGAGATACAGCAACACATTCAATTAAACAGATATTACTGGCATAGCATACAGAAAGGCATGCATGGATCTTCTTAAGTTTTATAGAAAAGGTGGCCAGATTTGCTAAAGCAAAAGAAGTAAAATAGTTTTGTAACAATAAGAAAAACTCTACCCTGCCATTATATCCTTATATCTCCTGAATAACTTCATGATTACTCTAAATGACTGTATTAAGGAACAAGAAAAGAAAATGAGAGTACATCCAGGGAATTGCATCTATTAGGGTGAAGGGGCTTGAGATCATTCTATAAGAGGACTGCTTAAAGGAAATGGAGTCATTTAGCCTAGAGAACAGATGGCTCTAAATCACTTTTGATTAGAGAATTCCAGATTAAAACAACTCTGAGGTACTACCTCACACCTATCATATTGGCTAATATGACAAAAACGGAAAGTGGTGTATGTTGGCGGGCACATGGGAAAACTGGGACACTGTTGGTAAAGTTGTGAACTGATACAACCACTCTGCAGAACACTTTGGAACTATGCCCAAAGAGCTATAAAACTGTGCATACCCTTTCATCCAGCAACACCACCACTAGGTCTATATTCCAAAGACATCCAAAAGGAAAAAAAAAAGAAAAGGATTTATTTGTACAAAAGTATTTATAGCAGTTTTTTGTGGTGGCTAAGAACTGGAAATCAAAAGGATACCCATCAATTGGGGAATGGCTAAATAAGCTGTGGTATATGATTGCAATGGAATATCATTGTTCTATAAGAAATGACAAACAGGAAGATTTCAGAAAAACCTGGAAAGACTTGCATGAACTGATGCAAAGTGAACAGAACAGATCCTTGTCCGCAATAACAAGAATACTGTTCAATGAAGAACTGTGAATGATTTCACTCTTCTCAGCAACACAATGATTCAAGATAATTCCAAAGGACTAATGATGAAGCATACTATCCACTTTCAGAGAAAAAACTGGTATTATTTGAAGGCAGATGGAAGCATGCTTTTTTCACTTTCTTTCTTTTACTTTCTTTTATTCAAGTCTTCTTGTACAAAAATGACTTATATGGAAATGTTTTACATTAGTGCACATGTATAACCTATATCTGATTGCTTGCCTTCTTAGGGAGAGAGGAGGGGAGGAAATGAGGGATAGAATTTGGAACTCAAAATATTAAAAAATTTTAAAAATTATTTTAACATGTAATTGAGGGGAATCCACACACACACACACACACACACACACACGTACATGAGAAATAAGAACCCTTTGTGGAAAACTGATGGCAAGGCATGCATAAGAGTGTTCTAAGATGAGAAGCATGAATAAGATGTGATCTGCATCCCTGCAGGCAATACTCACACAGCTGAGATCACAGATCCCTTTAGATGCTGATGTATATAACATATTTGATACTATTCTTCCTGTTGTATCATTAGCAGGTTCAGTGGTCTTTAAAAAAAAACACTTGATGCATTTCTGAATCAATTAAGCTGATTTTTAAAAAAGGCATAAGTAATTCCCAATCAAGACACCAAAGGACTAACACAGAACCAGAGAAATCTAGGAACTATGCTTTCTGTTCTCCTCCATCCACAGAGGACTAATATACTTTACAAGGAACAGGGTTGCTATTTTAATAGACTCTAGGGAAGGTGATATTTGAACATTTTCAAGCAGCTTATGCATTCTAAAGGACATTGGTTCAATGTTATTTTCCATGATCTTTTTTAGTTCCTTGCATATTGCAGTAATTTGGAGTGGAGTTAACCCAAAACAGTTTTATAGCAACAAAAGACTTACACTGAAGGTCTACTTGTCTCTTGCCTATTTTTAGTAATAGTCAAAACAACATTTTTTGTTTGTACTGA